AAAAAAAAAAAAAAAAAAAGAAAAAACCCAGCTCATTAAAGACAAAACCCTCCCTACCAGTATCACTCAAAGACTCCTCTCCTATTACCTGCAATAGCAGGTTCCCTCCATGGCATCTGAAACATCCCTGGTGAGTGTGAAAACCAGCCTGGCTCCAATGATATTTACCTTTCCAATTTCATCCTTCAGTGTGTACTGATTCAGCTGCACGCAATCCTAGAAAGTAGAGACACATGGAAAATGATGATAAGTTTCTCATACATTAAACACATAACCAGGACCCAAGAAAGAGAACATTCCCAGCTCCCCAGAAACATCTCCTAGCCACTGCCTCCTTTCCAGGGTGATCTCTATCCTGACTTTTTTTATTTGCTGGTTTTAAGAGATGGGGTTTTACTATGTTGCCCAGGTCTATCTTAAATTCCTGGCCTCAAATAATCTTCTAGCCTTGGCCTCCAGAGTCCCTGGGACTACAGGTGCATGCCAACAAGCCCCTCTCTATTCTGACTTCTAGCAGCAAAGACTGCCTGTTGTTGTACTTTGTCAGAACATAATTATGCAACCATACTCTTGTAATACCCATTTTTAAAACGTTTCCATTTTTAAAAAGTAAATTTTAGGCTGGGCATGGTAGTTCATGCCTATAATAGCACTCTGGGAGGCCAAGGCAAGTGGATCACTTGAGCTCAAGAGTTAAGACCAGCCTGAACAAGAGTGAAACCTCATCTCTACTTAAAATAGAAAAACTAGCCGGGGATTGTGGTGGGTTCCTATAGTCCTAGCTACTTGGGAGGCTGAGGCAAGAGGATCTCAGTGACCTGCCACATCCTAGCACAGCTGCCACCCACCAGCATCTGAATCTCTTTGTAAGAGGTTCTCTGGCTCTGGAGCTGGTCTGACCACATTCATGGCAGGTCACTTTGCCAACAGCTGATAGCAGCACAGGTACAGACACCTGGCTCCCTGGCCCCTGGGGACCCCAGGATGACAGAGCCCCAGGTGTCCACATTGGTATCCAGCTCCACCACCTACCCTCTGCTGACTCCCTTCTCCCTATGCTGACTCACTTTCCACAATCCTCCAAACCAGACTTCCCTGGGGCCACCTTCCAGGTCAATTCAAATCTTCCTGGGGAGCCCAATCTGCCATGAAGACACTTCTGAGGACAGGAAAGGGCACCAGAGACTCCTGGGGCCCAGCTCACGCACCTGCATACCCGTGATAGAGACGTGATGAGACTCCACTGTGGGCCGCCGAGGCAGCCGCGGAGAGGACTGTGGGGAGCACACAGGTGAGTAGGGCAGGGACGGATAGATGCAGCGTCCATTTGTGTCCACGCTGCTGCTGGCTGCCAGCCCACCCTGGGAACGTTCCTGCAGGGAAAGCTTGCGACTACAGAGGTGAGGCCGGGCCTGAGACCCAGGGGCTTCAAGGGGGACCTGTGGGCCATCAGCCTCCAGGGGCTGATCCTGGACCAGGCCAAGGTCCACAGCACAGCCTGGCTCACATTCAGTGACCACAATGAAGGACTCCATGCCCAAGTGGATGCTCAGGGATGAAAGGCCCTGGAGGGCCTCACAGGGCTTCTGGCTTTCGCTGCTGCTGCCCCTGCCCCCCAGCTCATTCTGGGGGGCGGCCCGATTGTTGCTGGGCTGGCTAGAGACACATGATGACATGGTGCATGCGCCAACTTCATCCAACACGCTTGTGTGCTCCCATCTGGCAGCAGAGCCACCTGCAGAGAGAGGAAGGGTCAGCTGGTCCCACCCTGTGGACAAGGATAGGGATAGAGCCCCTCTTCTCCTGGCCCAGGCAGGCATCTACTTCCTGCTTCAGGTTGACATTCTAAAAATTTGCAAAACATGATGTGACCTGATCTCTGAGTCTATATAGCAAAGCACGTTCTGTATCTTTTTATATTTGTTTGTTTTCTTCATAGCTCACCACAGTCTCCAACTTCTGGGCTCAAGTGATCCTTCTTCCACTTCAGCCTCCAGAGCACCTGGAACTACAGGCACAAGCCACTGCACCTGGCTTGTACATCCTTATTTTGAAAGTCCTTTCTCACACACATTGACAAGGACTCCAAACTCAATTCCTATGGGAACTGAATATAAGAAAACCCCCAATCAAGCATGGATTGTAGACCTAGAAGCTACTTCAGGCTCAAGCCAACTGTCCAGCAAGAATTTGGGCCTTCTATTGCCTGGTCCTCCCCACACCCAAGAGAAGTCCTAAGGATGTCAGATGAGGTTTGATTTCTTTTCTTTTCTTCTTCTTCTTTTTTTTTTTTTTTTTTTTTGAGACGGAGCCTCAAGCTATCCCCCTGGGTAGAGTGCCATGGCATCACGCTCACAGCAACCTCCAACTCCTGGGCTCAAG